TATCTGAACTGACCGGAAATAATACAAAAAAAAACAATAATATCAGTTCGACTACTACATCCAATCAGAAAATCCGTGCTGATGAATTCAATCAGTTTTTCAAAAGTGCACCTCTAAAAATCGTCAGAAATATTCCAACAAATCCCATTCATGATAATACCTTTAGTTCCAGCAGGGAAGATGCACGGCATTTGATGTTGCTGTATCCATTTACTGATGATGAATTATTTGACCTAATTAATAAATAGCTAAAAAACAAACATTCGTCTGGGCCTGATGAGATCCCAAATTTTGATAGTAAAAAAAGTATTGAATTACATTTTAAAGCCACTGGTCTTCATGATCAATATATCATTCTGCACTGGGAAATTTCCTTGCCTGCTAAAAACAGGAAAGGTGATTCCAGTATCCCTCTGAGCTGAGTAATTACAGACCAGTAACAATACCATCAACTTTTTCAAAAGTATTCGAGTACTGCTATCTGGACAGGTTGTTTTTGTTAAATAATAATATTTTGACAGAGAATCAGCACAGTTTTCGAAATGAGAAATCTACGGCAACAGCAATTCACAGCTTCTACGGAACTCTTGTCAAAATGATTGAGGCCGGCGAGTGCCCTGTTGGGATCTTTTGTGATCTCAGCAGGGCATTTGACTGCGTCAATCATGAAGTGCTGTTGCAAAAAATGTCAAAGTATGGCATAAATGGTCAACCATATCACTGGATAATGTCTTTTTTAGAGAATAGGTCCCAAATTGTAAGTATCGCCGATAGTGGTCTGAATGCGCCTATTAAGTCCGACGTAGCTGACATCTCCATAGGCGTCCCTCAGGGCTCTATTCTAGGACCTGTGCTATTCAGTCTATATGTAAATGACCTTGAGCTCTGTTCCTCTGAAGGTAGATTCATTTTATATGCAGATGATACATCAGTGGTGATATCGAATAAGTGTGAGGCTCTACATTAGAGAGATATTGTGGAGTTTTATTGCAAGGTATTCACAAGTGGTTTAGCAGCAATCAGCTCTATTTGAATTCTGAAAAAACATCAGTTGTCCAATTTCACAACATCAAGAAGAACCCTAGAATATTAAATATCACTTTTAATGGCTCAAGAATGTCTCTTAACACGCAAGTTAAATTCTTGGGCTTGTATCTAGATACAGGTTTGAATTTTAAAGACCACTGTGTATATATTGCTTCAAAGATAAACTCCCAATCATATCTTATGAAAAATTTGCGAACTGTCCTTACCGAAGCACAGATAATTTCTGTTTACTATGCTCAAGTTGAGACACGACTGAGGTATGCACTATGTTTCTGGGGTTTTTCTACAGATGCCCAACAAGTATTTTTGGCCCAAAAAAAAGTGGTTAGATGCATGATGGGAGACAGCAGTAGGCATTCTTGTAAGGATATTTTTAAGCGCCTTAAGATTTTAACTTTACCATCTTTATTTTTATATGAAATGGCTGTGTATACTTTTATTAACAAAACTAGGTTTTTAAACAATTTTAACTCGTACTCGACCAGACAAGCTGGAGACTTAAATGTGTATTTTGCCAAGTATAAGATCGGCGTCAGATCTCCGGAAATACTGGGTCCACGAATTTTCAATAAACTACCAAAACATATTAAAGACTGTGGAGATATACTCGTACATAAGTTTAAGGCTAAGCTGACAGATTTTCTTGTGTGTAAATGTTATTATGCCGTCTCTGAGTTTGTTATGTTATGATTTATTTGTGTGTTTGTTTTATACATATATTTATTTTGTGTTGTTTCATTAGTTATTATTCCGACGAATCCTATACATACTTTGTAATGTCTCTTGGGATAATAACATAATTTGAATTTGAATTTGAATTTGTATGGTAATGTCGATGTGGCAACGGCAGATAAAATATCTTCAAGATGGTGGCACTTCCGGTTATACCGGAAGTTGATGCCAACTTGCTTATTTTAAAATGGTATACTTAATATTCGGATTCTACGTACAATTCTGATCACATTAAATCTAATCTCTTATACTCAAGTCTAACCGTTTTTGAAATATTTCAAATTTTATGTCAAAAATGACGTTTGCAGGCCGTAAAGTAATTCTTGGTTTGCCCTATGTACAACACCTTAATGTTTAATTTGGATTGATTTTCTGATAAACAGGGATATAGTTTAATAGACTTTGTATGATATTTCGATAATTATTTATATAGGGTGGTCAAAAAATTAGTATAAAGATTGAGTGTCAAAAATTGCCAAAAGTCGATTTTTTCGAATGAAAACATTCTTATAAGTTTATCGCATCCAGCCTTAAAAATTAGCGTTACTTTATACAGGGTTATTCTATTCCAAAAATGTTTACTTTTCGAGTAATTTGCAATTTATTACTTTTCTATTGTAAAACTCCTGTAAGTACAGATTTAGTTTTTTAAGTAGTTGGTTATGACGACGGAACGCAGATAATAAACCATTGAGCACTACGGAAATATCACTACGACTAACTTTAAGCTTTTAATAATATAATTAATACTTTTCATGTATTCACAATCAGAATAATATGAAGACTAATTATGATAAGTTTGCTAGTAGATTTTCCAACAAGCACACATGCAGTGAAATGAACAACAGGAAACAATAAGGTATTTCGATTTATATTTAAATTTCATACTATTATAAAACAAAGTCAAAACATAACGAACAACTTATTTTGGTAAATGTTCAAAAGGACCACCTCCAACCTTCAGACATTTAGAACATAAAACACGTATTAACTCCTGTACTCATGATGAGTGGCAGTTCTTATGATTTCCGGACTCAAACTAACAAATGCATTTCTTACTGTCTTCTTACAGTAATCTAGCGTGATCAGTGGGTTCTGGTAAACAATATTTGTTATTGTCCCCCATATAAAGCAGTCCAAGACTGTTCTGGCGAACGGAGCGGCAACATGAATAGTCCATCCTATTAGCAAACCATTGATCGTAAAACGTAGCTTCTAGGAAATTGTTTATTAAGTATCCGTTGTGGGGTGGGGCACCGTCATGTTAAAAGAATACATTTCGATGATCAGAAAGTGGTAAATTATTCAAGTAATTGTTTTCTAAATTCCGAAGAATGTTCAAATAACCCTCACCTAAAAATACTATTGGGTATTAATAATAATAATTTTTATAAACGCATAACGTTTTCTTTGATATTCAAATATTCTTAAATGAGATAAATTAGTACTAATGTTGGCAATGCGGACCTTATGTGTTAAAAAACTTATACTACTGGTATTTGCATAGTGCACATTCTTGTCAGTTTCTATAAATAAAAACTGTTAATTTCTAACTTACCATTTAAATTTTCTTCATAAAACTGAAGAGAGACAACTTGATTACCCCTGACAGCGCAGTATATAGTATATTGAACTGCCGATTGTATTGAAAGTTTCTTTCTCTTATTATATGAAGGTTCTCGTTAGCCCAATAATGAGAATTGTGTCGATTGAAAAGGCAAATAATATTTTTCAGGAAAGAATGATTTTCTTAATACCTTGTCGACCTAGTGATAGCTTGTATGGATAAAAATTGTGTTTGTGCAAAATTCTGCTAATGGTATCTTTCGTAAAATCTGACTCTCGTGCAGATTGTCGTGAATACGTAATTGGAAAAGCATAACAATACCCCTTAACTGCTATTTCGATGACTTCATTGTTAACTAAAGGTTTATTCCTTTGAATCTTAGGCTACACACAACCGAAATTTTTGAAATTTTCTTTGCTTACTTAGCCGTATGTGCGTCCGGTCTTCTTTTTTTGGATATCTATAAGCAAACACATCACATGCTCTTGATATGACTCTGTTGCATTCACCATAAATAATAAATAAATCGAAATAGTAAGTGAAATTTAAACGCGGGGGCATGATTATTAAAAATAATAAATAAACTGTCAAATGAAGGACATTATTATAAAGTGACGTTTTTGTAGAGCACAACTGTTTGTTCTCCGCATGCCGCCGTCATAGTCAACTAATTAAAAAACTATATCTGTACTTATAGGAGTTTTACAATAGAAAAGTAATCAATTGCGAATTACTGGAAAAGTAAACATATTTGGAATAGATAACCCTGTATAAAATTACGCTAAATTTGAATGCTGGATGCGATGAAAATAGGGGGATTTCATTCGAAAAAATCGAATGTTGGAACTTTTTGACATTCTGATTTCTAATTTTTTGACCACCCTGTATAAATAATTATCGAAATATCATCCAAAGTCTATTAAACTATGTTTATCAGAAAATCAATCCAAATTAAACAATAAGGTGTTCGACATAGGGGAAATGAACAATTATTTTAGGGCCTGCAAACGTCATTTTTGACATAAAATTTGAAATATTTCAATAACTGTTAGACTTGAGTATAAGAGATTATACATAAAATGTGATTAGAATCCGAATATTAAGTAATATTTTCAAAATAGGCAAGTTGGCATCAACTTCCGGTATAACCGGAACGGCCACCATCTTGAAAATATTTTAGCTGTTGTTGCCCCATCGACGTTAGTATACTCCCAAATTTTCAAAAATATCATATGCCTACTTATCGAGAAATCTATCGATGGTGTTCCCCCAAACCATTTACCTATGATATAGGTATAACAATTCATCAATTTTCCAGTCTTATTCTTTATTTCGTTGCTTTTGTTTCTCCACTCCTGACACCTGCAGTATTAGTATTTTTGTACGATAAAAAGGCTGTTGACAATTTTATACCTATACTCTATTCCAAGTAAGATACGTAAGATGCGTTTGCTAAATTAATTTTTATATTTTAGATAAATATTAATCTTGAAAACATACCATTTCCAAAGAAACACTATAAAGAGCTCCAATCTATCTGGGCCAGTTCACATAAGAATAGAATCGAAGTACTAATAAATAATAAGTCATATTTGTATGTATTTTCAACTCAAAATCATCTTAAAACATACAATCCAAAGAAGCAGCATAAGAAGCTTCGATCTATCTGCGCAAGTTGACATATTTCCAGATTAGGATAGAAGGACTAATAATATATATTTGAATACATTTTATGACTATTTGTAGTAAGGCCCAAGCTATACAGTTGACAGGTGCTGTTTCACAATGCGTGCATCAAAGCTCAAATGTATGTTTATCCCAAGGGATCAGAATAAGAATTTTTATTACAATAAGAGACAACGTCGGAACTAGGTCTCTTTTGTCCCCTCTTGAAACGAACATAACCTGGTGAAAATTAGGGCGATGCAAGTTTGTAGCAGCATATGCGGCCTCAGGAATTCTCAGCGGAAGGAGGAGGGCCATCCATCGACAAGAGGTAACTTTTGTGTGAAAGCAATACTACCTCCAAAACTTTCTGAAGCACGAGGAAGAGCATATTTTCTCAGGCAGCCAACTCCTAAAGAGCTCCAAAATTGTACAAAAAGAGAAAGTAAAGTATGCAGATCTTAATTGTATGAGTCTGTTTGAATAACTTGATCCCCTTAATGTTTTTGTTCTACGTGTCCGTAGTTAACTTTTATCTCGTAGGGGCCAGCTTGTGCAGAACATAATACTTTACGAACCCTTGAGAAAGTTGCGTAGAAAGTGCAGAGTCAACCTACTTGACGCCATTTTTTCAGAATTGCACTTGTTTATATTGTACTTTATGCCGCAACGACGTTCCGGCAATGGAAACCTTCCGCAACATGATGCGGCTTAAGCATTGATGTCAAACATGCGGCGACATGTGCTTCAACACACTGCAGACTGTTCACATTTTTGTGGATCTGAGCATGCTCCTGGCACAGTTTCTCTGACAATTGAGATTCTCGTCTGAAACGGAAGAAATAGTGTTCTGTGATATGAAATGAAAAAAAAACAAGCCGATGCTATAGTTGTCAGAGGACCAAAGAAGCCATCAGAGTAGGATCAATAATTTTCATCATTTTATTATTATATACTATATTAAACATGTAGACTGTATATGTATACGTACTTACTACGGAAAGCGTGATTACTCAGTACTTTTCAAAAAAAGTCCCTCTGCTTTACACTTGTTTCAATAACTTTGGTGCCTTTTCTCATTCTTATTCAATCTTCATTTTAGTTCTTCATCATTTTTTTTTCGGAAAGGTGATCCTTATTTATGACCCTCACAGTGGGCCATGCCGATCTGCCGTTCGCTTTGCAAGCACCAATCTGAACTGAAATAAGATGTTATTACTATTTTGGATATTATACTCGTATGACATTTACGTCCGCTAATCCTATAACCGTCTATAGCTTGAGAAGTACCGCTCGGTTTTCAACAAAATTTGTAGACAATGTTGCTACAATGCCAAGTACGCAAAGTTTAGTTGTTGAGAATTGGAAAAATATCGCTCAAACATTGCTTTTTCACGTTTCAGACGAACAAACTGACAACAAACAGTGTGTTTGTTTTTAAGACTGTTTCCATTTTCAGTTCGTTTCTCACACAAATATTGACAGTGGACTGAATTGTACATCTAGTTGCATCCTGTGTCCATCCTGAAGTCGGTGCAACTTTTAACGATGTTAACGATTTTAATTTCGGAGACTGTGACTAAGATTTTGATATCCATAAGTTGTATCAAGAAGTTGTAACTGGTCTACATCCAGTGACAATATTCTCAGGACACAGATGACCGTCAATGTATATTCTAATATTCTAATACTTAATAGTTTGTGGGACTGTTCACTTATAACACCGTTTCCATTTTTATTTCGTTTCTCACACAAATGTTCACAGTGGACTAAAATAATGCATCTAGTTGCAACCTGTATACCTAAAATTGTGAGCACAGTTGAAACTCTCTGAATGCCGGCAATCTTTGATACTATATGTATGGATTCTTCTAACGATGTTTTCGTTTTTCAGTTCGGAGACTATGTCTCTAAAATTTTGATATACACAAGTTACAACTGAAATCATACACCTTGATTCGACGTCTTTACTAAAATTGGGGAGCCTAAACATTAATCTTTGTATAACAACCATAAAATATTACAAAAAACGTACCTTTCCGGTATTTTCTCTTCTATCGTTGTGTACACTTCCCAACTTGAAGACTGTGTCTGACAGATTGTGGTGCACAAAATGTGCAACTAAAGTTATAGATACACTAGACTGTGTACCAGTCAGACTGGATATCATAAGCTGGTGTGACAATCGTTGTCCAGACAAGCAATCCTCTAATAGTTCTATAGCGTCATTCCATTTCTTTGGTTCGAAGAGTGTGTCTCATGGAGTATGTTACCAAGAAGCTCTAACTGGTCATCCAGTGACAGGGTTCTCCAAACAGTGAGACTGAACAGATAAACGTCGATGTATATTCTAATACTTCCTCATCTGTGCCTCACAGAATGTGGCACACAAAAGTGGCATCTAAAAAACTAAGATTATTTATAAAGTTGCACCATTCAGTGCACCAAAAGACTAGATACCGACTAACGTTGCCCAGAAAAATTTGTTCTGATCCTTCATTTCGGTGCAGGTAGTCTTGTACCGGTGAATTTGAATATTCCTGGGTTAAAATGATAATGGATTACTAAAGACACAACGTTTTGATATTTTCTCTTTCATAATTACCTTCATTTTCCATTTGGGAGGCTGCGTCTCAGAGATTCTTGTACACAGAAGGTGCATCTTAACGTTGCGTCGACGCAGACAGTGTTTTTGAGATAAGTTCACACGAGCCTACAATAACGCATGCAGTTAGCAAGATGGAATTTGATCATGAACACTGTGATTTACTTGCATATTACGTATATAAGTATCATATTTGTAAAAAGAAAAAAAACATAGGTACACCCTTATGTGAGTGTCAAACTAAGTCGATTGGACATCATTTACCTCTATGCAAAAAGTACATTGTTTGTCCGTTAGAGGGCGTTTTCTTTTTGATACACATTTTTTCAGATACTTTTGGAACCGGCAGTGTCCCGGAACTGTCCGTTAGGGTCATCGATCAGTCGAACAGCTCTCCTCTGACCGGTGTCGACATGTATAATGTAGTCGGGGCGACAGCACTCCAAATTTGTGAGCAGTACTCGAGGTTAGGTCTTATCTGGGCCTTGTGTTCGTGCCTGGTCAAAACCTCGATGACCTGAAATCCGACCAGCCAAAATTATTGGCTCTTTATTAGAACTCGGCCATCCATCGAAACCGGGTGAGCGCTAGGACGCTTCTTGTTCGTCAAGGTACAGTACTGTTTTGGAAGCATTAAACTGTTCCCCGCTGTGAAAACTTCAGGGCTTCTCGTCAGAGAGGAGGTCGCTGCTAGTCTAGTTTTCTACAGCTCACCAACAGAGGTCGCCTTGACATTTGGAATTCCTGCATTTAGAGTGCTGTCATTAGCAAAGCTGTGGATTGCATTGACCGTACAGAAAAGGAAGTCGTTAATATGTATCAGGAATAATGTCAGTGCCAAGACCGATCCCTGGGGACACCCGCGTTGACGTTGTGATTTTGAGAATATAAAAAGTAATGCCTTTCTGACGTTGCAGTTGACGTTGGCTGCGGTCTTAAGTTGCGCAGTGAGGGGGCCATGTTCATTCTTGATTCACCTTTGATTGCGAATTTTTGCGCACTCATGACACTGCGCCCTGTAGCGGGCGCCTCACTTGCTTACCATCTGTAGCCGGTAACAAAAACAAACAACCATAGAAAATAGCGCTGCTATTTGACTAGTCGGCCTGTACTATCATTGCGCAGTGTAGGTTTGGCCAATCCTATTACATGCTGTGTAAGCACGCCTCCGAATTAATAACCAACATGGATGGATGGTTTTTTAACCATATTACAGGGAAAATGTGTCTGATGTTGCACCCCGATTGCAAATATTACCATCAATAAATATGAGAAAAACCGTCTAAAAAACGTGCTTTTATTTAGCTGTTATGGCACATTGGTCTAGAGCCGTTCTGGCATATACGGGGTATTACAATAGTTACTTTTACGAGGTCAGCGGGAGAACACTTTCGTACATGGGGATTTATCATGACTAATCACTACTAATGTGCATCCTATTTGTCATATTATCGTTTTCAAAAAGGTGCTCATAGCTGAGCTGGGAGAATGTAACATGGAGACACATCTATGTATTTTATAAGAAGATGAGGACAGTTTACATAATAAGGAAGATGTCAAAACATCAAGTAAATTACAGCGGAAATACGTTTTTTGTTAGAGTTTTCCTCAAACATTGGCTTGCTCTCACTTTAACGTTAACGACTAGAACCCTCCCGCCTGTCGAATTGGTAGGTACTTGCTAGAATGAGCTATTAGCTCATCAAAGAATTTGTAAAAAAACATTTGTTGACCTGTTTGTGCATATCCTAAATTGTCCCCTTTAAATGCGTCAGCTGTGCTTGAATTTCGAGGGAAAAGACCTGGTAAGTTTTCTGTTCTTAGCGCTTAAATTATACAGGGTGTCCCGAAAAAAAAGTGCAATATTCTACCAGCAGTTTCTAGAGCTTAAAATAGGAAGAAAAGTTCATATAAACATAGGTCGACATACGTCCCCTAAGGGCGATACGGTCTTTTAAAGGGGCTGCCCTGAAGATGGTTTTTCCCTAATATTTCCGAAACGTGTTGAGATAAAGACATAAAATTTCGTATTCTAGCCTAGTTTTTTATGCTGGATTTAAAAATATTAACAATTGTAGACAATTTTGTTAGGAAGCGTATGTAACAGGGACGGGCTCAGGTTATTTTAGCACCAAAATTTTTTTGTGATTCTATTTTTGAAATTCAATTTTAGAATTTGAAAATTTAGGGTTTTCTACACAAAAAAGGTACTCTTATTGAATATCGATAAATTGTGCCATTTTTGAATAAAATCAAACTACAAAAATTGTCACATGATAGGAAATGTACTGCGAATTTAAATGAATTGTTGATTATACATAGTTAGCCATGACTGCAAACAAGAGTTGTTTTGATTTGTTATGACTTATTTTGACGTTAAGCTGACATTTGAAATGTCAAGATTTACAGACAGAGAACTGACTGACATGCATTTTATGTACGGGTTTTACAATGGCAGTTCATTGGCAGCCGTAAGAGAATATCAAAGAAGATTTCCCAATC